GAGAGAGAGAGAGAGAGAGAGAGAGAGAGAGAGAGAGAGAGAGAGAGAGAGACATCCACATTACGTAAAGACTGTACCATGGGGACTGAGCTTGGTGAAGAGATAGTAGGAACACTATGCTGAAAAAGACCGGAGCTTGGTGAAGACCTAGTAGGATCGTATAAAATACACCGGAGCTTGGTGAAGACCTAGTAGGATCGTATAAAATACGATGTAAATATGCAAGGACTCTTGTTACATAGTCTTTGCGTAGAATGCACACAAACAAAGCACTACACCGGCGTAAAAAAAACACGTGTTGGTGATTAATACTGATTATGCAAGCACCGGAAAGGCATGGAGTAACGAGGCTGCAGTACGGGAGAAGACAATGCAGAAAGCCCAGGGTGTTGCGCCACTCATGGTATGTGAAAAGCCAGCACATGATATTTGCTACAATGGGAAATTGGGAATCCAAAATGAGCACAGGATGGAAATGCAAGGTACATAAAAGACACGAACCATAAATCCTCCTGGTAAATTGGGAGATGCAAGTTTTTTGTGGTCAGTGACTGAATATGGCAACCCTAAACCCTAAACCCATAAACGCAAAAGCTAACGCAAGAACTCACGACGAAAAAAAAAAAGGGAACAAATTGGAGACGTAATCTGCAATGGAAGAGGTGCTCGGAGACGTAATCTGCAATCGCAAACGTTGGCGGGAAAGACATCGATAATTGCGAGAGCAACTAAAAAGTTAAAAACCAGATGTCCTTTGTGAGTGCAACAGACTGCCTCATGGAGAATGTACTGATGGGCGTTGACTCTGTTGAGAGTTATCTCTCATGTGGCATTCACTGTCTGTCATGTTCTGTTTCTGTGTGGACGTCAATATTCGACGGTGAACAGCCACTTCCATATCAAGAGAGACTGACAGCACAGAGGATGGGATATTATAGACCAATGCAGGAAGCAACAGCTCTCTTGTAGTCTTCAAAGGTGTGGGTGTTGATGAGCCAGTGGTGTGTATTCCATCTTTCCGTCTGTGCCCTTCATCCCCCCTCCCAAGCTCCAACCCCCCCATCCACTTTCCCCCGCCCTCTTCTCTCCTTGTCCTGTGACTGCTGCCTCCCTCTTACCATCTTTCTCCACCTCTTTCTCTCCTCCGTCGGGATCCGCATCGAGCTCGTACTCCTCCAATACTCGATGTGGGCCCAGCCGATCTGGCATGCTTTTTCCTTTCTTCCTCTGTCTGCCTCTCTTTCTTTCTTCTTTTCTGAACCCCATCACACACTTCCACATTCACCCTCTCTCTCTCTCTCTCTCTCTCTCTCTCTCTCTCTCTCTCTCTCTCTCTCTC